GAAAGTAAGCCACCAGGTGCAGGCCTTGATCCACAGGTGGCCATGTGGGAATTCTAGCACCTTAACCACCACATCACCTGCTGGCTCCAGCCCAGTGTAAATTTTAAGCTGCTAGGTCTGGGACTTTTGAACTGTGGTCAACTACATGGAAACCCAGTGACATAAGCATTACTCCATCTGTCTAATCCTCAAGATCCTGTTTTTAAAATTACTGCTGTATTATCAAAAAAGTTATGATGTTGGGACCAGCAGTTGGCGTAATGGCTATGTCGCTGAACTCTCATGTAGTCGACCATGGTTCGAGTCCTGGACCCGGTGGCTTAAGCTCATGCCAGGCGCGTGTACGTGCATGCCTAAGATCCCGAGAGGAGAATGGAGGAGAAGGGATTGCGGCATGGCCATCCCCCCTGGCGGGGGATTTCTCGCTTTCTGTCTCTGTCTCTCTCTGTCTGTCTGGCGAGCGCCCGCGCCCTATAACAAAAAACGTCTTCAAAAAAAAAAAGTTATGATGTTGGGACCAGCAGTTAGCGTAATGGCTATGTCGCTGAACTCTCATGTAGTCGACCATGGTTCGAGTCCTGGACCCGGTGGCTTAAGCTCCTGCCAGGCGCGTGTGCGTGCATGCCTAAGATCCCGAGAGGAGAATGGAGGAGAAGGGATTGCGGCATGGCCATCCCCCCTGGCGGGTGATTTCTCGCTTTCTGTCTCTGTCTCTCTCTGTCTGTCTGGCGAGCGCACGCGCCCTATAGCAAAAACCTCTCCACAACAAAACAAACAAAAAAAAGTTGTGATGCATTTTTGCATCAGAAAACATGAAAAAATACACTATGACTTGTCCAACAGCCCAATAATAATAAGAGCAAGCCAGGAAGCATGGTGGTTAAAGCAACTGGATCCCATGTGACTGAATGGTTTGAGTCCTGAACCCCGCAACTTGAAAAATGTACTGTTGTGTTTATGTGTGTGCCCAAAATCCTGAGGAGAATGGAGAAGAAGGGATCGTAGTGTGTCCTTTCCCTTAGGGGGTGATTTCTTATTCTCTCTCTGTCTCTCTGTCTCTTTCTGGCAAGCATGGGCATCATATAACAAACTGAAAAATAAATAAAATAATCACTACAGGGTCTGCTCTCTGGCTTGGTGGTTAAGGCAGCCAATCCCACATGACCAACTGTGTGGTTTGAATCCAAGACCTAACTGGTTGGGGAACATGCTGGGCCACTTGTGTATGCATGCTCAAAATTTCAAAAAGAGAATGAAGTGGAAGAGAAAAGATCGTAGTGTGACCATTCCCCATGAGGACATGCTTCCTCCTCTTTCTCTCTGTTTCTCTCTGGCTAGTGCATATTCTCTCTAGCAAACAAACAAAATACCACAAAGTGTTTTTAAATCTAAGAGTCAGGACTAGCAGGTGGTATAATGGTTACATTGCTGGACTTCCACCTTGTCTATCACAGTTTGAGTCCTGGGCCTGGTGAATTCAACCTCACGTCGGGCATGTGCTGGGGTGCGTGTGT